AAAAAAAAAAAAAAAGAAAGGACATTCCAACACATGCTACACCATGGATAAACTTTGAAGACTTTATGCTAAGTGAAATAGCCAGTCACAAAAGGACAGAGTTCCAGTCACAAAAGGACAGAGTTCATTTCATTCCATTTACATGAGGCACTCAGAGTAGAGATAGAGAATTCTGAGACAAAAAGTAGACTGGTGGTTGTCAGGAACTGAGGAGAGGTATGGAGTGGAGAATCACCTGGGGAAGACAAACAATTCTGGTAGTGAGGAGTGATGCTGCATTGCAGGTCCAAAGTACTTAACCATGGGGCAATGGGCACTTACCATGGTTGAAATAGTAAATGTTAAGTTATGTATGTACTAACCGAAACAAAGATTGTTACAATTGAGCTTATTTTGCTTGTTACTTAGTTATTCAGGCTACTGTGCAAAACCAATCTGATTCTAAAACAGACAATACAAGTTATATGCAATTGAGTAAGTAATGATGAATTCTGTTAGTATTCCTGAAAAGCCTGGAAACATCTTTGCACTTTTAATGGCATCAGCTTCTCCTGATAGAAATTTATCTGGGAAAGATGGGAAAATATACCACTAGTAAATAAGACCCTTAATGCACACACAAAACCACGAATACTCACCCTCAAGATTTTGATACTCTGATTCCTCCTAGCCTATATTCTTGCTATTCCAAGAAATACCAAACATATTTCCACCTTACAGCCTTCTGTTAGTCTATAATAACCATCTCCCACATATCTGAAGAGTTCACTCTCACTTCATTCAAGTCTCTGTTCAAAAGTCCCCTTATCAGAGAGGCTGAGCTTGATCAACCTATCCAAATTAACATCCTGCACTAGCTTCTCCCCTTAATGTTAATTTTTTTTCATATCTCTTATTGCTTATATATATGTGTGTGTATATATTTATTTTTTTATATCTCTTATTGCTTATATATATGTGTGTGTGTGTGTGTATGTATGTATATATGAACTCCAAAAGTACAAAAACGTCATCTATTTTATTTACTATTGTATGGTCAGCACCTAAAACTCTACCCAAGATACTGATGATGGACAATAAACATTTGTAAACCAAATGAATAGATAATTGTTCACAGACCATATTGTCCTCTTGGCCTTGATACCACTTTATTTACAAGGGTATTATAAGGAAGTCATAGAGAACAACCCTGATTTAGGCATCACCAGTGAAGTGGAAAGGAAAAGTGAGACTGAGCAGCTTCCTACCAGCCCATCAAAAAGTGTTCTTTAATTCGATATCTAAATATTCCAAATGAATACAATACATCTGTCCTGCTGAAGAATAAGAAATATAGAATTCTAATACTGCTTTAAGACAAAAAGCATCTACTGAGCTTCACTTTCTTAATATCAATTTGCACCCATTTTAATAAGTTATAAGATACTTGCTGACTTGAAAACCAAAGGTTTTTCTCTCTCCAACTTTTCAGATGATTTGAGGAAATGAACAAATGCAATCACATTGTTTATCGACAAGTAGAGCCAAAAATTAAGTAACAGTTGCTTGAGCCAATAGACAGGTACATACTTCGGAACACTAGAAGAATATGCTAAATCTCTGGATTAGAGAGAGAGGGGACTCCTTCCAAAATATTCCCAACTTCATTTAAAAGTCAAAAGTATTCAACTACAAATTTATCCCATTAAAATGTCCGAACAGAACTCTTGCATGTTACAAGTTTTGAGACCATTTTATAGCTGCACTTTAACCTTCTGTCATTGACAGATTTCTGATAAAGCTTTGGCAGTTGATAATCTTTGTGGAAAAAAGAACAGCATTACCTCATCTCCTAAGAAAGCCTAGGAGGACCCAATACTCTACAGTCTCTGGGGTTCCCAGAACCCCATATGTCCAGTTTAAAGAGAGTCACCCAGAGAATGCACGTGTCCTGCCACGCCTCGCAAGTGGAAATGATAAATGGAACATCACCAATTGTGGGGTGCTGGACTTAGGACAGAGGTGTCCACAGGAAACGTTGCGTGACTCCAGGAAGCCTCTGGTCCCGCAGCCAGCAACCCCGCCAAAGACAGACCAGGCCAGTCCTCTCCTCTGATTACACAGGGGTCCAGCCCCCGAGCTCAAGTCCCGGGCAATCGCAGGTCCTACCTGAGCTCTGCCCCCAGCTACAGGGCTGCGGGGGGAGGCGGGAGGAGGCGTGGCCTTCCAGCTCGCCAGACCAACTCCCTCGTGCGGTTGTTATGACTTTCCCTCTCGGGATCCGCGCCCCGACCAAGTTCGAGTTGCACTTCCGGGGTCCGCAGGAGACTATAACGTCATTGCGCACGCGACGAGGCTGCCGCGTCGATCCGGAAATGGGCGGGGCGTGGTTGGGAGGTCGGTTCCTGCTGCGCTAGGTGGGCTGGGAGCGAAACCGGGGGCTTGTATGAGTTATGAGTTCTGTTCTTTTGTGGAGGGCTTTGCTTATACTTTCTTCAACCCTTTCTCAAGCAAGCAGCTACCTTAGCAGGTAGCCTTAGAGGCTGGAGCCACCCTGAAACCTTATCTCCAAGTGAGATTTTTTTTTTTTTAATTGGGGGGTATCCGCGTACCTATTTGCCTCTCTTTACTTTGATCATTCCTTTCAACTCCAGGAGAGATAAAGGTAGGAAAGTCTATAGAAGATTAAGTATCATTCCAAATTGTGACTTACGTAAAGTCTGAATTTAAGGATAGGGTCCCTGACTTTGCTCTTTCTCGTGTCTCCTAAATAGTAAAAGGATAGATTGGCACCAGCCGTGGAAAGCTTGTCATCTAGGTAGCAAGAGTTTGGCTCTAAACTCTGCCTTTATGGCAGAAATCCCTGATAGTAAAAATAACCGATGAAAATGGGCCACAAACTGCAGGATACGTGGTGTTAAGCATAAACCAGATCGTTAACTCTTATGCACACTTATTAAACATGAGACTTCTTACTTTTAAATATTAGAATGAGTTTGTGTGTACACTGCTAGCATTAAACAGTGTAGCTAACTCTAATCGGCAACTAACTCTTAGTCTTCATCTCACCCATTCGACAGCATTTGACATAGCTAATTACATCCTTAAAACTTATAACATTTTCTTTTGTCTTCTGAATGCCTTTGCTTGATTTTCATGATTGGTAAATGTTATGTGCCCCAAATTCTCTTCCCCTCTATAGCCATCCTCATTCTCCAGTGATCTCGTTCACTCCCTTTCCTGGCACCACTATGCTAATAACTTTCAAATAGCCATATCCAGCCCTGACATCTCTGATTTCTATACTATGTATTCAACTTTTTATTAAACATATCTAACAGGATATTTAGTAGCATTTCAAATGCCAAAATTTCCTAACCGCAAACCTGTTCCTGTAGAAGGTCTTCCCATCTCAGGAAATGACATATTGATTTTTTCTTAATATCATTTTGTGCATTTTTCCATGTCAGTTGTAATCCCCGTGGGCTTCCCATCACCAAATTACCCGTGTGCCATCACCATAGACCAGTGCATTTCCCTCCCCCCCCAACTGTTTTTTGATCCCGTTCCCCATTCCATTAAATGTCTAGGGTATATAGCTGTTCATTATTACTATTATTTTCTCACCTGGACCATTAAACTCCTGCTATAAGTGAAAAGATCTGGTATTTTTCCTTTTCTTTCTGACTTAATTTCACTTATTTAAGTACAATCTTTTCCAGCTCCATCCACCTTGCTGCAAAAGGCATGTGTTTATTTTTTTTGGTTGCTGAGTAATATTCCATTGTGTATATGTACCACATCTTTTTAATCCCGTCATCCACTTTTGGGCATTTGGGTTGTTCCCATGTCTTTCCAATTGTAAATAAAGCAGCAGTAAACATGGGGTGCAGGTATCTTTTTGAATCACTGTTTTTGATGACACATTGATTTTTACAATACTTCAGATTTTTAGACAAGTTTACAGTAGTACAATCTTTGTAACTTTGATTCCTCTGTCACATTTCACATCCAATCCCTCACCATGGTCTGTTGTTTCTTTTTTATATATTATCCTAACTCAAACCAATTCCCATCACCATCATAGCTATCACTTTTGTCCTCACTAAATGTCTTTGTCTAATTGTTTTACATGTTTCTGTTCTTATTTCCTGGAGTCTTCCAATTTGCAGCTATAGAAATTCTTTTAAAATGCAAACCAGTATTTATTCCTTCCTGTTCAACACCTTTGAAAGCACTCCTGCTCAAATAAATGAAATCCAAAATTGTTTTTCACAGGCCTTTATACTCATGCATGACCTGGTGTCCGACCTCCCCATGCTGTCGCTGAGACAGTGATAAGACATTGGGGAGGTAGGACTTAGAAAATGTGTTAAATTTTAGAAAATGGCAGCCACAAAGATGAAAGTCCAGTGTTTTTGCCTGGAAATATTTAAAGGCAAGATACTGACTGAGGCTGCCCATAATAGAGTAAGAAAAGAATTGTGAAGTTTTCCCAACTAGTAGACATGAGGGTATGTGGCTTGGTGTGTTAGTTTTCTAACATTGCCATGACAAAATGCTTCAAACTTTGTGGACTAAACAACAGAAATATATCATCTTCTATTCTGGGGATTGTAAGACAAGCTCAGAAGATAGGCAGAGTTGGTTCCTTCTGAGCGATGTAAAGAGTATTTTGTTCATGTTTCTCTTCTAACTTAACCGCGGTTTGCTGATGTTCTTTGGTGCCCCTTGGTTTATAGGTATTTCACTTCAATCTTTGCCTTTGTCTTCTTGTAACATTCTCCCTGTGTTCTGTCTTTGTATCCAAATTTCCTCATTTTTACGGAAGCACCAACAAGCACAGGAAATAAAGTCCAAATTGGAAAAGGAGGATACAATATTATATAAATAAGGTCCTAAAGACACCATCAGAAAGTTACTAGAAACAATAAATGTCACAAAGTGATAGGCAACAAAATTGACATACAAAAATCCATAGTTTTTTAAAAATGTACAAACAATAAACAAGAAGAAAAAGAAATTTTAAAAATCCATTTATAATTGCTTCAAAAAGTATTCAAATTAATAAAGGAGGTAAAAAATGAAATTACCAATGTTATTAAAGGATTTAGATAGTGATGTAAGAATGTCCCATGAACATGTATGCAGAGAATACTATAATCAAAATGACTATTGTGTCTAAAATGATATACAAATTTAATACAACCCACTTAAAAATCCTAACAATATTTTTCAAAGAAAATTAACAAAAATTATTGAAATATATATGGACCCACAAAATACTTTGAATTAGAAATGCAACCTTAAGAATAAAAGGAGAGAATTGGAGGTATAAGTTTACCTGACTTAAAATTCTATTATGAAACAGCAGTATTAAAAATAATGTGATATTAGTATTAAAAATAAATAGATAGACCTATAGAACAGAACAGAAAAACCCCACACATATCCAATATAATACAACTGATAGGACTTACAGAAGGTAATAATCAAAAAAAGGATATAAAATGTACCCAAATGTACTAGTATCTAATTCATAAAGGATTAATATCCATGATGTATTAAAAAAAATGCAATTCAACAAAACAACAAAAAGTTAAATACTCAATTTCAAATGGTCAGCACATATGGACAATTCACTAAAGAGGATGCCTTTACTTATGAATGTTACCAAACTTTCAGAGGAAAATTAATACCTATCTTCCATCTCTTCCATTTGAAAAGTAGAGAAAATTCCAAATATAATCTATGAAACCAACATTAACATTATTCTAAAGACTTAAAAAAAGAAAAAGATAGCTATGAACTAATATTTCTGATGGCCATAGATGCAAAATCCTCAACAAAAAAAGGGCAAAAAGAAATTCACTATTAATGTAAAAGAATCATACACCTTGATCAAACGATGGATCAAGGGTATATGGGGATACAAGCATGGTTCAACTGACGCAATTCAGTAAACATGATATACCACTTTAAAAAAGGGGCAAAAAATCATATAGTCTCAATATGTGTAAAAAGCATTTTATAAGATTCAACACCTCTTACGATTGAAAAAAAAATACACAAAATGAATACAGAAAAAAACAGACCTTAATATCAACATAGTTCTTGCGTCACAAATCTACCATGAATATATGGTTTAACAGTTTCAAGAATACTGAAAGTTATTCCACTAAGACCTGAACCTAGAAAAAGATGTCCTTCTGACTGCATGTATCCAATATAATACAATTGATAAGATTTGTAGAAAGTAATTAAACAAAAAGGGATATAAAATGTACCCATATTGGAAAGGAAAATGTAAAACTATAACTATTTGCAAATGACATTATACATAGAAAATTCCAAGGAATCCAATATAAAGCTATTGAACGTATTATAAAAAACAAACAAACAAACAAAAAAACAGCTAGGGCTAGAAAATCAAAATCTGTTGCATTTCTACATACCATGTAATATCAGAAAGATAAACTTGGGAAACAATTATCTATAATCACATCAAAAAGAATTAAATTCCTTGGAATAAATTTAAACAAAGAATTGAAAGAACTGTATACCAAAAACAATAAGATACTGTTAAAAGAAATAGAAGGTGTAAAGCGATGTCAAGTTACTCCATGCTCATGGATTGGAAGAACCATGGATTAACCTAATCGTCAACATTATTAATGTCTATCCTACCTAAAGCAACATATATATTCAGTGCATGCCTATCAAAATCCCAATGACACTTTTCACAGAATAAAAGGTTATGAAATTTATTTGGAACTACAAATTATCCCAAATAGTGAAAATACTCTTTAAAATAAAGAGAAAAAATGGAAGTATCACCTGTCCCCAAATTTAAACTATGTTACAAAATGATATTAAACACATTTGACATTGGAGTAAAAATAGACACAGATCAATAGAACAAAACTCAAAGCCTAGAATAAAATCAAAACTAATTTACAATAAAGTAGTCAAGAGCTTACAACGTAGCCTGGAAAGTCTCAATAAATAGTTTTGAAATAACCAGACAACTACATGCAAAAGAATTAAACTAGACCAGTATTGATACCACATAAGAATTAATTCAAACACTTAAATGTAACACTTACAACCATAAAATACATAGACAAAAATTTATGCAATATGCTCCTTGGTATCAGTTTGAGAGAGACGCTTTGGCAATAAACTGCGATGTCAGGAGAACAAAAGCAAAAATAAATGGGTATACATTGAACTAAAAAGCTTCTGTACAGCAAAAGAAACATGAATCAAATGAAGAAACATCTGAATATCACATATC